GTCCTCAACCTTCGAACCTCGTTTTGTTTTCAATCCAATACTGTTGACATTTCGCAGACCCGATTTCATGTCATTCATTTTCCATTTGCCGTGAACGTCATTCGAAGGACCAGATTTTTTTCCCCGAAATAGTGAAAAGGCCTTGGTGACCACCAACCGCGGGAAGCTCATAACCGCCGCAACCTGGCTTACGAACAAAATGTACCGCGCGGGGATCCCGAACACGTCTGGTAAAGAGAGCAAACGTGGCCGCCTGCGAAGGCTGAAATTGTCTCTCCCGGACGTGTGTGGCTCCTGCTTCATTCATGATCTTGTGTTTCTTGCAGCCATGTCTGACATCGAAGAGGAGTACGAGTGAGTAGCCCTTCGCTCGGTCTCAAGCCAACAGCGGTGACAATTGCATCTGATTTATTTTCTCTCTCTGCTCTTTGTCCAGGGACCAGGCAGAGGAAGGTAATGACGCGCAGGATCTGTTCCAAAGTGTTGATCAAAAGCATCAAAGTCTGTGCGCAATCTGCGTCTTTCCCTGCCAGAGGTGGAAGAGGAGGAGGAGGAGGAGGAATATGAACAGCAGCATGAGGAAGAGGAAGAGGAGCAACCGGTCTATGAGGATGAAACAGGTAATGGTGCGACATCGCATGCTGCCAAAAGCGCATCCTGTTTAGCACGTTAAGTCACCGGTGGCGGGCAGCAGCTAACGACGGTCCCGATACTTAGTGACTGAGCTTTAGTCGTTTTTTATTCACAATGTCGGTACTCTATTGACCATTCTTGCTCACCACGTTTTCCTCCCTCTTTTCAACAGAGGAGGAACGTCCCAAACCAAAGTAGGTCTGCTTTTTGATCTTTCTTTGACTCTGTTTTGCTGTCGCACGAGAGCCGCACAAAATATCAAGCGTTTCATGCATTTTGCAGACACGCGCAACCCAGTGAAGGAAGTGTATTTATTTTTTTTTCTTCATTAGAAATTAATGTTTTTCCGTGCTGATAAATCGTCTGAGAGGATGAAAATTCTGCAAGTCAGGGGTAGTAGTCCAAGGCCTCTCAGTGTCATTTTCTTCACTGCAGGTTATTTTTTTTTT